AATCATAGAGATATTGTCATTCTTAATATAATACATACGCCATAAGTAACAACCCTTTCGATTTAGTTAATGTAAACTGTCAGGCAGAACGAATGCCTACATCATATGCGTATTGGTACGGTATTTTGATCAAATAAATACTTTTAAAAGGAGAAGGTAATATTGAGATCGTATTGTTATTAAAACAGTTTTTTTTTATACTTTTAAGATTATTTCAAAACGTTTCTATCAAATGTCAAATCAAATACAGGTGAACATTCAGATAAATGTATCCACGTAAATAAGGAAAAGGTTTTTTAAAGAGTTTTGTTTTTTGTAACTAATTTTTCAAATATATCCTAAATTATAACTTGAATATTTTCTGATCAACCTTTTCTTGTGCTAAACACATACAGCTTATGCACTTTTGTCAGGTTGAATTAATCGGTATCATCGTTTTCAAAGTTTATTTCCACAAGATGAAAGATCTGTATTTGAAATAAACACACGTATTCAGTAAGCGTTTTGTGTTCATGCTGGCCAGCAAAGCAACCAACAACATTGCATTCGTACGACGTAAACCCTACACCAACGATTTTGTAAGAATGAAACTTTTTTTTATGTCTAGATTCAAGGCCTTAGTGTCCATACAGAGTCAACCCGTAGACAATCATACCGTTACCGCATCTCAGCTTTGGCCTTCTTTTGAAAATTTGAATGCCTTACTGTGAGTTCGCCCTCGCATATATAAATAACCATTCAAATGATGATTAATAGAAGACAATGTCCTTACTATAGTTATAGTTAGTATAGTTATGTCGTATATAATGTTCATAAATAGACAAGCGATCCATGTAAACGTATGGTTTTCCTGAATAAAAATAATCTTAAAGGTCATCATCTACCTTTTGAATGAATAACATTCATTTTGTCATTTGATCTCTAGTGGATTGCTGTCTCTTTGGTAATCATACAATACCTTGTTATTTATATAGGAATTGTTATCCATAACACTTATGGTCATATATCTTATCGAAATCTATAGTTAAGCACAGTATATGATCATGCTTTTCGCAGACAGTTAATGCCATTTTTACACTTAATAGTCGATTTGTATTTTTAAACAATCGCGTGTCTGCTTTACCAAATTATAATACAGGTGTCCTGGTGTTTTTACAATAACTTGTTTTATGCGACTGTGGTGGATATTTCGTTCCTTAAAGTATATCCAGTCCAATAGACAGTACTTTTGTTTTGAATTGAATTATTATTGATACGGTCATTTTATAAATTAAGCTCTAAAGACTTTTTACTTCAAGGCATAAATGACCTTGGCCGTATAGGTCTCACTTTTTTGTAATATTTGCTTTAAAATGCTCTTCAATTTTGTCTTAAAATGGAACTCCAACGAGGACTATGATATAAACAAAGATTGCGTCTGGCGTACCAAATTATAATCCTTGTATCTGCACTGAATATTTTCATAAGGTATAACTTTTTGCTCAAAACCATATGGTGAGCTGTAATGTTTCACATTTTTGTGTTTTTGTCTGTGGAGTTATCCCAGATATGAACGTTTATTTTATTTTTTTTTTGCGATACATTTAATTACCTGCTTACAGTTTTGTATCATAAACTGAACAGAATTACATTCCAATGTGTGAATGGAAATGTAATTAAACTTCAAACTTAACTGGTTGAGAATAGACGAGGAAATTTAGTTGGTCTCTGTTTGAAAATATAACTAATCAGAATAATGATTTCTGTTATTTGATGAAAACATCTAAATAATGTAGACTATACTTGAAACCTTAGGTGTTACTGTTTGACGTAAACTCTGTTAGTCGGTGAACAATCGGTGACGAGAACTTGACTTATCAATGACTGATCGTTGATCGATACAATGTATCTTATTTGACTCATTTTACAGATTTTATCTGGCAGTTATCGTAACAACCGTGATCGATCTATCAGTCAATTAATTGTATGCGCGGATCGGTGAATACATATCTGATTTAACTTCTTATGTGAAACGAACTCCGCAGTATTTACATGCGATAAACACGGACCTCTTAGAACACACTATTACTCGAAAATGTGTATCCAACTTGTCGCAATAACATAAGACAAAAATATATAAATGACTTTAAATGCGATATATCTGATTGCTTCATTATTGGTTCTTTTAATTTTCTGCTAAAAAAATTCATTATAGCAGAATAATGTCATGCTCAGAATGTTTCTATACCACTTAAAAGAGATAACATGATATCATTTGACATTAGTACCCTATTTAGCAGTCATGCATTTTAATGCCACTAGTTTAATTAGTTTTCACAAAATGTAAATGATATAACAGTACAGTCCTTGGATGGTGTAAACTTCCCACTCACACCATACACCATTACACCATTCACCATACACCAGTACACCATACACCTTGTGCCATTACACCATACACGTTACACCTTTGCACCATACACCTTACACATTACACCATACACCATTCCCCATTCTATCTACACGATCCGAAATTACCCGTAATGCAATTAAATTTCAAAGAAAGCGTGCGACTACAAAATTATTTATTTGATTTAAAAAACGAATTTTGATCACAATATTGTAAATTAATGTATAAAATTAAAATCTCCGTGGTCATGCCTATGATGGTTATATAAACAATACAGATTAAATATATATACATGTATTTGTAAATAAAGTACGCATAAAACTTTGCTTGTAATGCAAATTTATCCGCGATCTGCCTATCTATAAATTAAAAACGATATTGGTTACAATGCTATTATTATCGGTTTTAACATGTATCGTAAATCTTATAAACTTGGTTTTCAGATAAAATCGACAAACAATGCCAAAAATGAATACTTCAGGATGACTGGTACATGTACAACATGTACAACAAAATTATTTTAAGCATCAACCAAAACTGACCATATTTGCACTTATAATTATAAAATTGAGAATGGAAATGGGGAGTGTGTCAATCTGTTAATTTATATAGGGTTAAAAAATTTGGAAATATTTTTGCCCTCCTTTTATCAAAAATATTGTCTCGCTACAAAATTTCAGTAATTTTGATACCTCAGGCTGACTCATATAACAAAATTATTTAACTCATCAACCAAAACTGACCATTATATTTTCACTTTATTATATAGATCTATATAGCCGCATAGTAAATCAGCAATATTTTGATGTCAGGGTGGATTGTATAACACAAATGACAGCAACAGTGCAATACAATGACAACAAAAATTTGTCCTGATCAATCTAGATAGCCAGCATGACCTCTTTTATTCAAAATATTGTCTCGCAAGAAAATTTCCGTAGTTTTGATACCTCAGGCTGACTCGTATAACAAAATTATTTTAAAGCATCAACCAAAACTGACCATATTTGCACTTTTAATATTATGTATATCTATATAGCCACATAGTAAAGCAGCTATATTTTATTGTCAGAATGGGTTGCATTATACAAATGACAGCAACATTGCAACACAATGACAACAAAAATTATCCCCATCAATTAAGATTGCCAGCATGTCCTCTTTTTATTCAAAATATTGTCTCGCAACAAAATTTCAGTAATTATGATACCTAAGGCTGACTAGTATAACAAAATTATTTAAACGCATCAACAAAAACTGACCATATTTGCACATTATTATGTATATCTATATAGCCACATAGTAAATCAGCAATATTTTGATGTCAGGATGGATTGTATAATACAAATGACAGCAACATTGCAATACAATGACAACATAAATTTATTCCCATCAATTTAGATAGCCAGCATGTCCTCTTTTTATTCAAAATATTGTCACGCAACAAAATTTCAGTAGTTTTGATACCTCAGGCTGACTCGTATAACAAAATTATTTAAACGAATCAACCAAAACTGACCATATTTGCATTTTATTATTATGTAAATCTAAACATGTATAGCCGCATAGTAAATCAGCAATATTTTGTTGTCAGAATGGATTGCATTATACAAATGACAGCAACATTGCAACACAATGACAACAAAAATTTGTCCCCATCAATCTAGATTGCCAGCATGTCCTCTTTTTATTCAAAATATTGTGTCACAAGAACATTTCAGTAGTTTTGATACCTCAGGCTGACTCATATAACAAAACTATTTTAAAGTATCAACCAAAACTGACCATATTTGCACTTTATTATGTAAATCTATATAGCCGCATAGTAAATCAGCAATATTTTGATGTCAGGATGGATTGTATAATACAAATGACAGGAACATTGCAATACAATGACAACAAAAATTTGTCCCCATCAATCTAGATAGCCAGCATGTCCTCTTTTTATTCAAAATATTGTCTCGTAAGAAAATTTCAGTAGTTTTGATACCTCAGGCTGACTTGTATAACAAAATTATCTTACAGCATCAACCAAAACTGACCATATTTGCACTTTTAATATTATGTATATCTATATAGCCACATAGTAAAGCAGCTATATTTTATTGTCAGAATGGATTGTATAATACAAATGACAGAAACATTGCAACACAATGACATCAAAAATTATCCCCATCAATTAAGATTGCCAGCATGTCCTCTTTTTATTCAAAATATTGTCTCGCAACAAAATTTCAGTAATTTTGATACCTAAGGCTGACTAGTATAACAAAATTATTGAAACGCATCAACAAAAACTGACCATATTTGCACATTATTATGTATATCTATATAGCCACATAGTAAATCAGAAATATTTTGATGTCAGGATGGATTGTATAATACAAATGACAGCAACATTGCAATACAATGACAACAAAAATTTATTCCCATCAATCTAGATAGCCAGCATGTCCTCTTTTTATTCAAAATATTGTCACGCAACAAAATTTCAGTAGTTTTGATACCTCAGGCTGACTAGTATAACAAAATTATTGAAACGCATCAACAAAAACTGACCATATTTGCACATTATTATGTATATCTATAGAGCCACATAGTAAATCAGCAATATTTTGATGTCAGGATGGATTGTATAATACAAATGACAGCAACATTGCAATACAATGACAACAAAAATGTATTCCCATCAATCTAGATAGCCAGCATGTCCTCTTTTTATTCAAAATATTGTCTCTTAAGAAAATTTCAGTAGTTTTGATACCTCAGGCTGACTTGTATAACAAAATTATTTTACAGCATCAACCAAAACTGACCATATTTGCACCTTTAATATTATGTATATCTATATAGCCACATAGTAAAGCAGCTATATTTTATTGTCAGAATGGATTGTATAATACAAATGACAGCAACATTGCAACACAATGACAACAAAAATTATCCCCATCAGTTTAGATTGCCAGCATGTCCTCTTTTTATTCAAAATATTGTCTCGCAACAAAATTTCAGTAATTTGTATACCTAAGGCTGAATAGAATAACAAAATTATTTAAACGCATCAACAAAAACTGACCATATTTGCACATTATTATGTATATCTATATAGCCACATAGTAAATCAGCAATATTTTGATGTCAGGATGGATTGTATAATACAAATGACAGCAACACTGCAATACAATGACAACAACAATTTGTTCCCATCAATCTAGATAGCCAGCATGTCCTCTTTTTATTAAAAATATTGTCTCGCAACAAAATTTCAGTAGTTTTGATACCTCAGGCTGACTCGTATAACAAAATTATTTAAACGAATCAACCAAAACTGACCATATTTGCATTTTATTATTATGTAAATCTAAACATGTATAGCCGCATAGTAAATCAGCAATATTTTGTTGTCAGAATGGATTGCATTATACAAATGACAGCAACATTGCAACACAATGACAACAAAAATTTGTCCCCATCAATCTAGATTGCCAGCATGTCCTCTTTTTATTCAAAATATTGTGTCACAAGAACATTTCAGTAGTTTTGATACCTCAGGCTGACTCATATAACAAAACTATTTTAAAGTATCAACCAAAACTGACCATATTTGCACTTTATTATGTAAATCTATATAGCCGCATAGTAAATCAGCAATATTTTGATGTCAGGATGGATTGTATAATACAAATGACAGGAACATTGCAATACAATGACAACAAAAATTTGTCCCCATCAATCTAGATAGCCAGCATGTCCTCTTTTTATTCAAAATATTGTCTCGTAAGAAAATTTCAGTAGTTTTGATACCTCAGGCTGACTTGTATAACAAAATTATCTTACAGCATCAACCAAAACTGACCATATTTGCACTTTTAATATTATGTATATCTATATAGCCACATAGTAAAGCAGCTATATTTTATTGTCAGAATGGATTGTATAATACAAATGACAGAAACATTGCAACACAATGACATCAAAAATTATCCCCATCAATTAAGATTGCCAGCATGTCCTCTTTTTATTCAAAATATTGTCTCGCAACAAAATTTCAGTAATTTTGATACCTAAGGCTGACTAGTATAACAAAATTATTGAAACGCATCAACAAAAACTGACCATATTTGCACATTATTATGTATATCTATATAGCCACATAGTAAATCAGAAATATTTTGATGTCAGGATGGATTGTATAATACAAATGACAGCAACATTGCAATACAATGACAACAAAAATTTATTGAATAAAAAGAGGACATGCTGGCAATCTTAATTAAAGATAAAGAGTAAAAAAAAAAATGTAACAGCTCAAGGAATGAAGTACAAGAAAAAAGGGGAAAAGTATATTACACTAGAGAATAGAAGTAGGATTAAACTTTGATTTCAAGATTTAGTTTAAAACGATGTACAACAAATCTAAGATTCTTTTTGAAATATTTTGGTGGCCCTGAAAAGGGCCGTTGTTAATGTTAGCTGGGTGGCTGTTTAACCTCCGAATCCGTACAAGGTACGTCCTTGGCGTTTCAAAGCGTAGACAACATCCATGGCAGTGACAGTCTTCCTCTTGGCGTGCTCTGTGTATGTGTATTTGTAAAAATCCTTGATTATAGAATGTTCGGCAATAGACGAAAGTAGACAAACATGTATAGCCGCATAGTAAATCAGCAATATTTTGTTGTCAGAATGGATTGCATTATACAAATGACAGCAACATTGCAACACAATGACAACAAAAATTATCCCCATCAATTAAGATTGCCAGCATGTCCTCTTTTTATTCAAAATATTGTCTCGCAACAAAATTTCAGTAATTTTGATACCTAAGGCTGACTAGTATAACAAAATTATTGAAACGCATCAACAAAAACTGACCATATTTGCACATTATTATGTATATCTATATAGCCACATAGTAAATCAGAAATATTTTGATGTCAGGATGGATTGTATAATACAAATGACAGCAACATTGCAATACAATGACAACAAAAATTTATTCCCATCAATCTAGATAGCCAGCATGTCCTCTTTTTATTCAAAATATTGTCACGCAACAAAATTTCAGTAGTTTTGATACCTCAGGCTGACTAGTATAACAAAATTATTGAAACGCATCAACAAAAACTGACCATATTTGCACATTATTATGTATATCTATAGAGCCACATAGTAAATCAGCAATATTTTGATGTCAGGATGGATTGTATAATACAAATGACAGCAACATTGCAATACAATGACAACAAAAATGTATTCCCATCAATCTAGATAGCCAGCATGTCCTCTTTTTATTCAAAATATTGTCTCTTAAGAAAATTTCAGTAGTTTTGATACCTCAGGCTGACTTGTATAACAAAATTATTTTACAGCATCAACCAAAACTGACCATATTTGCACCTTTAATATTATGTATATCTATATAGCCACATAGTAAAGCAGCTATATTTTATTGTCAGAATGGATTGTATAATACAAATGACAGCAACATTGCAACACAATGACAACAAAAATTATCCCCATCAGTTTAGATTGCCAGCATGTCCTCTTTTTATTCAAAATATTGTCTCGCAACAAAATTTCAGTAATTTGTATACCTAAGGCTGACTAGAATAACAAAATTATTTAAACGCATCAACAAAAACTGACCATATTTGCACATTATTATGTATATCTATATAGCCACATAGTAAATCAGCAATATTTTGATGTCAGGATGGATTGTATAATACAAATGACAGCAACACTGCAATACAATGACAACAACAATTTGTTCCCATCAATCTAGATAGCCAGCATGTCCTCTTTTTATTAAAAATATTGTCTCGCAACAAAATTTCAGTAGTTTTGATACCTCAGGCTGACTCGTATAACAAAATTATTTAAACGAATCAACCAAAACTGACCATATTTGCATTTTATTATTATGTAAATCTAAACATGTATAGCCGCATAGTAAATCAGCAATATTTTGTTGTCAGAATGGATTGCATTATACAAATGACAGCAACATTGCAACACAATGACAACAAAAATTTGTCCCCATCAATCTAGATTGCCAGCATGTCCTCTTTTTATTCAAAATATTGTGTCACAAGAACATTTCAGTAGTTTTGATACCTCAGGCTGACTCATATAACAAAACTATTTTAAAGTATCAACCAAAACTGACCATATTTGCACTTTATTATGTAAATCTATATAGCCGCATAGTAAATCAGCAATATTTTGATGTCAGGATGGATTGTATAATACAAATGACAGGAACATTGCAATACAATGACAACAAAAATTTGTCCCCATCAATCTAGATAGCCAGCATGTCCTCTTTTTATTCAAAATATTGTCTCGTAAGAAAATTTCAGTAGTTTTGATACCTCAGGCTGACTTGTATAACAAAATTATCTTACAGCATCAACCAAAACTGACCATATTTGCACTTTTAATATTATGTATATCTATATAGCCACATAGTAAAGCAGCTATATTTTATTGTCAGAATGGATTGTATAATACAAATGACAGAAACATTGCAACACAATGACATCAACAATTATCCCCATCAATTAAGATTGCCAGCATGTCCTCTTTTTATTCAAAATATTGTCTCGCAACAAAATTTCAGTAATTTTGATACCTAAGGCTGACTAGTATAACAAAATTATTGAAACGCATCAACAAAAACTGACCATATTTGCACATTATTATGTATATCTATATAGCCACATAGTAAATCAGAAATATTTTGATGTCAGGATGGATTGTATAATACAAATGACAGCAACATTGCAATACAATGACAACAAAAATTTATTCCCATCAATCTAGATAGCCAGCATGTCCTCTTTTTATTCAAAATATTGTCACGCAACAAAATTTCAGTAGTTTTGATACCTCAGGCTGACTAGTATAACAAAATTATTGAAACGCATCAACAAAAACTGACCATATTTGCACATTATTATGTATATCTATAGAGCCACATAGTAAATCAGCAATATTTTGATGTCAGGATGGATTGTATAATACAAATGACAGCAACATTGCAATACAATGACAACAAAAATGTATTCCCATCAATCTAGATAGCCAGCATGTCCTCTTTTTATTCAAAATATTGTCTCTTAAGAAAATTTCAGTAGTTTTGATACCTCAGGCTGACTTGTATAACAAAATTATTTTACAGCATCAACCAAAACTGACCATATTTGCACCTTTAATATTATGTATATCTATATAGCCACATAGTAAAGCAGCTATATTTTATTGTCAGAATGGATTGTATAATACAAATGACAGCAACATTGCAACACAATGACAACAAAAATTATCCCCATCAGTTTAGATTGCCAGCATGTCCTCTTTTTATTCAAAATATTGTCTCGCAACAAAATTTCAGTAATTTGTATACCTAAGGCTGACTAGAATAACAAAATTATTTAAACGCATCAACAAAAACTGACCATATTTGCACATTATTATGTATATCTATATAGCCACATAGTAAATCAGCAATATTTTGATGTCAGGATGGATTGTATAATACAAATGACAGCAACACTGCAATACAATGACAACAACAATTTGTTCCCATCAATCTAGATAGCCAGCATGTCCTCTTTTTATTAAAAATATTGTCTCGCAACAAAATTTCAGTAGTTTTGATACCTCAGGCTGACTCGTATAACAAAATTATTTAAACGAATCAACCAAAACTGACCATATTTGCATTTTATTATTATGTAAATCTAAACATGTATAGCCGCATAGTAAATCAGCAATATTTTGTTGTCAGAATGGATTGCATTATACAAATGACAGCAACATTGCAACACAATGACAACAAAAATTATCCCCATCAATTAAGATTGCCAGCATGTCCTCTTTTTATTCAAAATATTGTCTCGCAACAAAATTTCAGTAATTTTGATACCTAAGGCTGACTAGTATAACAAAATTATTGAAACGCATCAACAAAAACTGACCATATTTGCACATTATTATGTATATCTATATAGCCACATAGTAAATCAGAAATATTTTGATGTCAGGATGGATTGTATAATACAAATGACAGCAACATTGCAATACAATGACAACAAAAATTTATTCCCATCAATCTAGATAGCCAGCATGTCCTCTTTTTATTCAAAATATTGTCTCTTAAGAAAATTTCAGTAGTTTTGATACCTCAGGCTGACTTGTATAACAAAATTATTTTACAGCATCAACCAAAACTGACCATATTTGCACCTTTAATATTATGTATATCTATATAGCCACATAGTAAAGCAGCTATATTTTATTGTCAGAATGGATTGTATAATACAAATGACAGCAACATTGCAACACAATGACAACAAAAATTATCCCCATCAGTTTAGATTGCCAGCATGTCCTCTTTTTATTCAAAATATTGTCTCGCAACAAAATTTCAGTAATTTGTATACCTAAGGCTGACTAGAATAACAAAATTATTTAAACGCATCAACAAAAACTGACCATATTTGCACATTATTATGTATATCTATATAGCCACATAGTAAATCAGCAATATTTTGATGTCAGGATGGATTGTATAATACAAATGACAGCAACACTGCAATACAATGACAACAACAATTTGTTCCCATCAATCTAGATAGCCAGCATGTCCTCTTTTTATTAAAAATATTGTCTCGCAACAAAATTTCAGTAGTTTTGATACCTCAGGCTGACTCGTATAACAAAATTATTTAAACTAATCAACCAAAACTGACCATATTTGCACTTTATTATGTAAATCTATATAGCTGCATAGTAAAGAACAATATTTTGATGTCAGAATGGATTGCATTATACAAATTAAATGACAGCAACATTGCAACACAATGACAACAAAAATTTGTCCCCATCAATCTTCATGTAGATAGCCAGCATGTCCTCTTTTTATTCAAAATATTGTCTCGCATGAAAATTTTAGTAGTTTTGATACCTCAGGCTGACTTGTATAACAAAATTATTTTAAAGCATCAGCCAAAACTGATCATATTAGCACTTTATTATGTCATGTATGTAAATCTATATAGCCGCATAGTAAATCAGCATATAGCCGCAAAGTAAATCAGCAATATTTTGATGTGAGGATGGATTGTATAATACAAATGACAGCAACATTGCAATACAATGACAACAAAAATTTGTCCCCATCAATCTAGATAGCCAGCATGTCCTCTTTTTATTAAAAATATTGTCTCGCAAGAAAATTTCAGTAGTTTTGATACCTCAGGCTGACTCGTATAACAAAACTATTTTAAAGTATCAAACAAAACTGACCATATTTGCACTTTATTATGTAAATCTATATAGCGGCAGCCGCATAGTAAATCAGCAATATTTTGATGTCAGGATGGATTGTATAATACAAATGACAGCAACATTGCAATACAATGATAACAAAATCTTGTCCGCTTTAATTTAGAGTGCCAGCATTTCATCTCTGTATTCGTTATATAAAACTGTCACTAAAGTCAGTATCAGTATCTGTATTTCCCACTTCCATGACTTCTGAATATGGACGGGTATATCACAGATTCCATTTTGGGCTATTGTGTGATGGGTTGGTCTGCGCATAAATTAGTCGTGCTTGCTGAGGTGTGATGATTTAAACTCAGTAGTTCAGGATGGTTTGTATAATAAAACTATTCCACCTCATCATCCAACAGTGTGACTGACATGACAGATTTCATTTGTACTTTATAATGAAAAGTATGAGAAGTTCTCTTCTAGGAAAAGTATACTGTTAGTATATTATGTCGGTTGGTTGATTTTGTTGGTGGCTAAATATCAAGTGGCAAATATTTCATCCCGTTTCACATAAGTATATTTTTTCGGACGTTCAAGATATCATTTATAATCCGTAAAGACAAATCTAACGAAATTGACGAGATTGTTCATAATTATACAACACCTTATGTGCAATAACACTGTACAATTTTCCTTTGAACATTTTTTGGAAAACAGAATCGTAAATCCAAGGCAAACATAGGTGAATGACGATAAGATATTTATAAAGAGACTGTCAAAAGTGGGGAACGAAGCAACTTTAAAAATGATGTTGATAACCCGTGATATAAAAATACTGTTCCGATGCGTGGATAACCTTTCTATCCGCCTTCTAGTTTAAATAAAATCCTTTCTTTTATGATAACTGCATGTGATCACAAGTGTGTAATTTTAAAGCCATTGTTTAATGTAAATAAGAATAAGAAAAAAAAAGATTTTTTAATATGTGTATATTAAATATATATGACATAGAGTCTAACGAGTAAAGTAATTTGCTTTACTGGGAAAAAAGAACAATAGGATTATTATTATTGTTTATGTTTACAATCCGAAAAATTAAAATAAAATGAACTTCGGTTTCAACCAATGAAATGTCGTACACCATTCATTCACACCATTCCCGATCGCACGTTACACAATCACACCATTCCTCATACACCATTACACCATTCCCCTTACACCATACACCATAGCACCATACACCTTCTACCATTGCACCATATGCCATACACCATTACACCATACACGTTATTTTGGGAAGTTTACACCATCCAAGGGCTGTAAACACACATAAAGCTTTGTTTGTGTTGATTAATAGTGCATATTTTTTCTTTATTTAAATATAAGTCGGTCATTGGTTTCAGTACTTTTGTACAACAGGATGGGTTCTTTTTCATAAAATATGATAAATGTAAGTGATAAGTTAGTAACATTGTGTTTGCATTGTTTAAAAATGGCCATATTTCTTCTTTTATATGAAAACCAATGAACTTATATATTCAATCAGTCATTTCAAATGCCTCTAGAAGAGTTGCTTTTTTATATAAATTGTGATTAGTCTATGGATATAGACGCTTACACTTATGTTGGTGTTAAATAAGAGTGCAACAATTTCTGTATTCTAATGAAAACATGAAATGCCATTGTGTTTTAGTAATTTTGTACATCAAGTTAGACGGTTTTTCGTAAAATATGATGAATATCAGAAAAAAGATACACACATTTTGTTCGCATTGTTTAAACATGTCAATGTTTCTTCTTTTTTAAAGCAAGTATGCACTGTTGTTTGCAATCAGATATGCATAATGCTTCTGGATAACTGATTATTTTCATAAGATTTGAATACTATAAGGATACAGTTGCCTAAACTTTTGTTTTTGTGGAATAAGAATGCAAAAAACTTTCGTGTGTATTGAACATGTTGAATCAGAGCTAAATTATGTCTTTATTTTAATGAAAATCATGAACCACCATTGGTTTTTAGTACGTTTTGAACATCAAGATAGGTTGTGTTTCGTAAATTAAGATGATTATAACGGATAAGTTAGTAAAATTTTGTTTTTATTGTTTACAAATACCCATATTTCTTTTTTTTTTCGTGAAAATAAATGAACTTTTTTTCGCACATCAACATTTCAACCGCCTTTTGATGGGTACCTTTCATGATGTGTGTATACACGAAGATTAAAGATGCATTTTTTTTTTATATAAATGGCAAAATTAAGAAGATATTTTGCCATTTTGAGAACCAAAATCATGAACCACTATTGTTTTTCATAAATAATGATGAACATAACAGATAAGTTAATAAAATTGTGTTTGCATTGCTTAAAAATACCAATATTTCTTCTTTCTTGACAAAATCAATGCACTTTTATAGACAAATGGTCCTTTAATACGCTTTTGATGAGTTATTTTGATAAAATGTGGATATTCGAAGAATAGAGAATCTTTAACTTATGTGTGTCGAATAAGATTGCAATGATTTCTTTATTTTCATTGCATGTTAGCACTGTTTGTACATCAACATGGGTTTTTTTTTCTGAATATTAGAGAAAAAATGCTCAATTTTTTTTCTTTTGATAAAAACCAAGGCACCTGTATTTGTAATTAGTCGTTTCAAAGGCCTCAGGATGAGATATTTTATAAAATATGAATAATCTAATAGTTTTTGGTACTTTCGAACATCAGGATGGATTGTTTTCCATATGATTTGATGAATATAAAAAAAAAAGATACTAACAATTTGTTTTCATTGTTTAGAAATCTCATAATTTCTTCTTATTATAAACAATAGTGTAATGTAGTTTGTAATGGCTCTGGGTAAGTAGTTATTCTTATCAAGTTTGAATACTATATAATAATGAATAATGCGTTACTAAATTGTTTACATTATTTGGTTATTCACAATGCCTCTGGCTGGATTATTTCTTTATTTTAATGAAACTAATGAACTTCTATTGTATTTCGTAAATTATGATGAATATAACAAATAAGTACAATTTTAAAATTGTGGTTTTCATAAGATATGATCAATAAAAAGCATAATAAAAATACAAAACTAAAAAGCATATTCAAAACTGAAAAATCCATTATGACTGCCAAAATCAATCGCTAACAACCAACGGAACAAGTGTAAAACAATTGTTGTATTCCTAACTTGGTACAGGCATCTTCCGAAGAAAATGGTGGGTTAAACCTAGATGTATAGTTAGTTAAACCTTCCACTTGTATGACAGTTGTTTATCTTATCAGAAAAAAAAATACTAAAAATGTTGTTCGAATTGTTAAAAAATGCAATTAGTTTTTATCAAAAATAGTGACCAGTTGTTTGCAATCATTTCTTTAAAATGACTCTGGATACATTATGTTTTATATACTTTGAATAACATAAGGATTAAGATACTTACACTTTTGTTTGTGTTGAAAAATAATGCAATTATTTTTTATCTTAATGTAAATCATAACCCACCAATGGATTTGAGTAGCATATGGATATAGATACCTTAACATGTTTGTGTTAAATTCAAATACAATTATTTCTTCATTTTATTATATTGTAATGGAAATCATCAACCATTTAATTATTTGCAATATTTGTTTGTTTCATTTTTTAGAGCATTTCGGCAAATTTAGTAGATTTTAGCAATCGCAATAAACAACGTTTTTAACATTCGTCGGGTTTGATGAAAAAATGCCTTTATATTAACTACAATCGCATTTTTTTTTTATCAAATTGAAGTTTTAGTTCTATCAGCATACTTCACCTCACTATTAACAACCGTAACATTGTAGATGTGTTAACTTTGCTGAGTGATTAGTTTTAACTTGTCGGGTTTCTTATTTTTTCCGTTTTAATTTGTAAAATTTCATTATGTGACCTAGTAGAGTACAAAACGTCAGAAAGATAAATCAGTCCAATCAGTTAAAGATTTTCGCTATTAGTCTGATGGATTGATGACAATATTCTTCAACTTCATACTTTATTTAGTCTTTCAACTTTATTTTATTCGAGCGTCAATTTGTTTAAGAAGAAAC